TTCGCAGTTACATAGATACCGGAATGCCATTATACTTTGGGGAATAAGGGTTTGCAGTTGTAAAGAGATCTCACTTATCTGTCTGTGGGGCGGTCGGGTAGCCTAGTGGTTAAAGCGTTCGCTCGTCACGCCGAAGACCCGGGTTCGATTCCCGACATGGTTACAATGTGTGAAGCCCATTTGTGGTGTCCCCAGCCGTGATATTGCTGGAATAGTGCTAAAAGCGGCGTAAATCCATACTCACTCACTCACTCTCTTATCTGTCTGTATCATCAACCTACTGCCCTCAGCCCCCTGCAGTTATCTAACCATCCGTGCCAATACTGTCCCCACAATAAGCCATACGGTTACTGTTAACCCCATGAAGATCCGGGGTAGAATAGGTCTCCAGCAACCCATGCTTGTCGTAAAAGGCGACTAGGCTTGCGTTAGAGTAGACTGAGGAGATCGGGTGGTCAGGCTTGCTGACTTGGTTGATGCATGTCATCGATCCCAATTGCGTGGATTGATGCTCATGATATCAATCACTGGATTGTCTGGTCCAGACTCGATTATTTACAGACCGTCGTCATATAGCTGGAATATTACTCAGTGTGGCGTTAAACAACAAACAAACAAACAAACAAACTGTTAACTGATGAGCAAAGGGAAGGTCCCCTCTGTCCAGCTTTCTTGTGCCTAGCATATTGAGAATGAGTAGCCTTGCTGTGGCTTAAAACATTTTTGAACAATGTAGCAAACTTTGATATGTAAACATGGTAAACAGCAAACATAACTTGTTTTATGTCATCTTAATAATAAGTTTATTCCTACTTATGTTGGAGATACTATCAAAATAAATCAAAGTTTCTTTTGAGCTGGCATGAATATTATAAATTACTTAGCAAGTCCATGCTCTTAATTCCCTCTACTCTTGCTGCAGTCTCTGATTTTGGCTTGGGTACATATCAGTATAGGGACACATACCTGGGGTATATATCTGTAGTACCTGTGACGACAACGACCCCTTCAGTTCTTCTCCCCCATGTGGTTGATCATACATTAAACATTCTTCACGAATACTGTAGAACATGAAATTTGACACCAAATTAATGCGAGTGTAGACCGCTGGTTTAAAATGCGTTACGACATTAATGAGATTAGAACTGCCTTTGACCAGTTAAAGCTAATCAACAAACGAAAACACCAAGACTTAGAATTCCATGAAGTACTGTAGTATAGGCTGATCTTTAAAAAACTTAACTTCAACTGTTGATCTAACTTCTATGAAATCAAAAGCAGGAAGGTTTATCCTCATCTTTCAGGAAATTAAACATGAAAGAGCAGCATGTACATGCATTAAATGGAAATGTGCTTGCCTAAGTGACAATTCTACTTGTCATTAAAGTGAATGACAGTGTTCTTCTTTTGCTTGTGTATTGTGTCCAAAGACGATATTATTGTGATGTACTTGATGCACTCCACTTGTCTCCTGAATCCGTTGCACAATATTGACAAGAAAACTTTTGATGCGATGCATCACCTAGGCGGCAAACTCTTTCTTAGTCAAATTACATTCACAAAAAATATTTTCTCCCAAATATTTAATCAAGATATACGAACGAATTATGTAGAAATTTGTCAAAGAAAACCCTTGACTCTAGCAGAGAGTACACTAAAAGGGGGCTGTCGTGTACATTTCAGCATACTTACAGAAATTGTTAATGGAAAATTAAGGTAATAAATATTAGGGGTCTTAAACAACCTAAATGGGTGGCGTACTGAAGGACATATTCAGTCATGACCACTAAGAATTGGCCACTATGTGTCCTTTCAAAACTATAGAATCTATATTTATATCGGAAAGTTTCAATACTTTGACAATAGGAATAAGCAAGCGCTGCTATAACGCCTACACTTTACTGTAAGACGCTGGTAAAATAGGACGTCTCGTATCCTTCTTGTTTGAAGTAGTTCTAGTGTTCAAATCATCGAGATGCGCACGTCATGTCTCTGGAATGTTACAGTTGGTCACGATTAAGTCAACAATGTCGTGGCGAATGCCGAAAACAGACGAAAATCTAACGAACACGACCCAAGATAATAAAAGAGGCGATTTGAAGTTGAATAACTTACAAAATACAGAAAATATAAAATATATAAAGGAATGTGTTACGTACAACATCATGTTTTTTTAGCATTTTGCATCTGCTTACCGCGTCCCGCGTACCACACTGCTGAGTCCCGAATACCCCCTAAATATACTCGGAATCCCGCGTAGCGAAAGGGGATTAGCAATCTCACTATCTCCCTCTCATTATGGCGGTAAACCTTCTGACAAATGTCATGCATTTCATGGTTTGAATAAACTAGAACTAAACAACTAACAAAATATCGAAAATTTCCAAACTAAGATGTTATGCATGTTCATTGGATTCTTTATCGAATGTATAATGTGGAGGACTACTTCAGTCTAGGATTAGTAATATACTTTTAATTATGATATTATTACACCTTCAGATTATTACAAGTAAAAGTTTCATCTTAAACATAGAGAGAGGTAGGGAGTTTATGGAGATAAGTTGTAACATTGGCATTGTTCATACAATTCTTAGTTCTGTAGGATATCATAACATGCACACAAAAAATTACAGTGGAATGCTTCCCTCTTAGTTCAAAGAAAACCAGCCTGCTCACTTTTGAGAAAAATGTTTACCCTTTTCCCCATAGTAATTAGATATGCTTGCCTCATTTCGCACTTTTACCTCTTAACATTTTATTGGCGCATTGCCAGATCCCACATGTGATAGCATATAAATGTCTGTCATTGGGATCCGTGATCGGACACGTTAGGATTTGAATACAACAACAGGAAGGTCGCGGACGTGATATTGACATGACTTTAAAGGGTTCATTGTGTATCAAGTTTCTATATCTAATCATCCATAGGGTACTGGTTGCCAAATCGTTGACTATAAATCGCTGTGCAGAGTTGCGTCCCTTGGGCATACCAAAAACCTATCATCGTGGGTTCGAATCCCGGTTCGCCCCGATTATGTTTCTAGGTTTGTCGGCACCATACCCGTGCTCGTGGGTTTCACCGAAGTGGTAAACGTCCGAGACCTGCATCACTTCGGGCTTTCCTCACACATTAAGCTGACACGCCGAGATATAACTGGAATACTGTTAAAAGCGGTGTTACACCATATTTACTCTCTCACTAGTGTTTATTTGTGGTCACATTTTCCATGTCAACACTTGACTGTAAACGTCTGCTCACCTTTTTCGTGCAGCGGATAGTGGTGGTTTAAATTTGGCAGATATTATTTGTTGTCAGTTTGACCTTAAAAGTGGTAAACGTCTGAGACCTTCATCACTTTGTGCTTTCCTCCCACATTAAGCTGACCTATGCTAACATATATGTAACCTATGGTCTATTTATAAGAATCTTTATTAAGCGTCAAGAAAGTTACATTGAGATTTGGTTTAACGTAGCTTTGAACAGTGTATCAGTTATTTCACAGCGTGTCAGCTTAACGTGGGAAGACACTGGCTATCAAAATACACAGAAGGCCTGGTCTGCTTAACCTGTAAGTTTCAAAGATAATATCATGGTGTATTTTTATATTTTTAGTTATACATCTTCCAAGAATAAAGCCTGTTTGCTTGCCATGTATAATTGTATTCAATGTTGTTTTTAGTCTATTTGCAATACAGTACTTATAAATTTATAAAGGGAATTTAACAATGTAATTGGAGGCCAAATTTTAAATAATTGTCTGTCTTTATTTGGTTTTGGAAGAGTGATAATTCCTCTGTTCATTGTTATAGATAATATTTTAATTTTAAAGGTTTCCATCATAAATCTATGAATCCATGGGCCTAACTCTCTCCAAAAGCACAATCGGATATCCATCAACACCTGGGCTGTTATGATGTTTCATGGACAGAACTGCTTTTTTAATTTCTTCAATGCTAATTTCCTTTTCAGGATTTTCTACGTCATCTTTTCTTAGTTTCGGTGTTTTGAGATTGTTCATTTTAATATCATAGGCTTGCTAAGTAATGTTTGTTTTATTGTACAGACTGTTATAGAAATATTTTGACTCTTCTAGGATAGATTTGCGTCTGTCACTGTGTCTCCATGTTCATTTAGGATACTATTAATAAACTAACTTGTGTAATTTCAATTTTCTAAATGACAAAAAAACTGGTTTGTTCTTCTCTTTACCATCTTATTCTATTTTTAACTGAATTCCTCTTTTTTCTTCTTCATGTAGTTGTAATTGCTTTTTCGTAGTTGATAAATCAGCTGATATTGATTCGTTTAAGTTTTGAAAGTACTTTCTGATAGTTTCTTCAAGAACTGATATTTGTTCTGTGAGTTCTTTAATCTTTTTATCCTTATTAATGACAAAAAGAGAAATGGTTTTACCCCTTAAATCCACTATGAAGGTTCAGACACGGGCTATCATCCTCGTTTATCCAATGTATAATATCCCCATTCTATTGAGAAACTCGGAACGTATTTATATGTGGGTTGTAATATCAATGTCACTCACTACTTCCAGATGTGATTGAAACATATTTTTATTTAATAAATGAATTTGGATTGGTAAACAAGTCATAGGTTATTACATGGGTGCAAATCTACCAGAACACAGGATGTACATACGGACCGAATTCAAAATATCTAAATTGAGAGATTTGGTTTCATTTCCATTCCCATAAAGAACTGAATTTAAACTGTAACCTTTCAAAAAGAAAAACGAATCGTTTCTTAAAGTATTTTAGTTAGGGCATGTGAAAAAATAATGCAGTTTTTCTTCAAAGGGATACTTCCAGATAGATTAAACCTCTTTGTTAAAACGACGCCTACGACAGGACCAGAACCAGTAGGTAACCCTAGCTCAGTTGCGATCCCATGTTTGTAGTCCATTTTAGTGTCCCCCGGTATGACATTACTAGAAGTACTAAAAGCGGCATTAACCTACACTCACTCACACAAACTGTGTTTGCAG